CAGATAGCAGTCAGCTGAAGTGGCTTGCAGTACTGCACCCTAACCACTGCGCCACCTCGTCTCTTTATGGCCCTAACAGCCTGGCCTGAACAAAACAAATCAAAGTATTGATTACTGTTAATTTTAATTTGAATTCTTTTTTTAAAAAAAAAACGTGTCATGGTCAGTTTTAACTGGGTTTGGGGATATCCTGTTTAATTTCTTTTTAACTTTTGTAGTATGTGTTTCTTTTAATGTTGTACGCCGCCCTGAGTCCTTGGGAGAAGGGCGGCATATAAATCGAATAAAACCTCAACCTCATCCATGCTAAATGATGAACATCACTAGAATTATAATTCTTTATTGGCCAAATATGATTAGACACACAAGGGATTTGATTCCGGTGCATAAGCTCTCGAGTATTTCATACAACAATAGTGATAGATCATTATCATAGTCATTGTAAAAATACATTCATCATGAAACATTAGATACAACACTTAGTGATAGTCATGGATTCTAACTAAGAAATCAGCATAAACCATACTAGGATACTAAGAAAACAATAAATCGTAAGATACAAGTGACAAAGTTATAGTCATAAGGAGATAGGTAATAGGGAAGATGAGAATAATGATGGTAATACTGCCTTTCTATACAGTTTGGCAGTGTTGTGGGAATTAGTTGTTTAGCAGAGTGATGGCATGGGGGAAAAAACTGTCCTTGTGTCTAGTTCTGATGTGCAGTGCCCTGTAGCATTGTTTTGAGGGTAGAAGTTGAAACTGTTTATGTACAGGATGCGAGGGGTCTATAGATATTTTCACAGCCCTCTTTCTGGCTCACATAATATACAGGTCCTCAATGGAAGGCACATTGATAGCAATTATTTTTTTTCAGCAGTTCTAATTATCCTCTGAAGTCTGTGTTTGTCTTGATTGGGTGCAGTGCCAAACCAGACTGCTACGGAAATGCAGATGACAGACTCAAATCTATCTTGTAGAACCGTTATCAGCAGTTCCTGGGGCAGCCCGAGCATTGATGATGTCACCTAGTTCGGTTAATGAAACATCTTCAAGAAAACAAGCAAGCTCAGAGAGGACCCGGGACCTCTTATTTTAACCCCGAGCTACAAATATTCTCCTTTATTGGTAACTTTTTGAATTACAGCTCACTTTCAAAGTTGATGGGGTAATTAATGGAGATGAAGCAGGTTGGGAACTGGGAGAAAGAGTGAAAGAAAGTGGATGAGCAATGTTATTTGTATGTCATTTGTATAATGATCTCATTATGCAAATTGACATCAATTACATCATTCAACATTTATGTAACTCTTACATTTTTCTTTATTGATTTATTTCTCCTATTGATATATATATACCCAATTCATAATTATTCTGAGCTTACATCAAATTTAAAATCAAATCAATGCATCAGATCTCAAAAACAAAACTGCTAGTAGCTCTGGCAACCATTCAGCTCCATGAAATACCTCTTAAAAATATCTTTTGTGATTCACTCAACACTTTGACGCAACAGCCAAATTTGTGATTTCAGGATTTCATTCAGATTTAAATCAGGACAGTCAGAGGGTGGCGTTCTAAGGAACACAGCAAAGCAGTAAACTAGGTCTTATATATTGTAAATATAATCCATTTATTATTATTTATAGAAATCTCCCTATCTAAGAAGAATCAAGTAAAAATATAATATGATCCTTCTTTTGATAGCACTTCCTGGCTAGCTTCCAGCGCACATTGTCTCCCCAGGAAATATAGCTTGTTTTCTATCTCATTGGCTCATTCTTCCCAAAATACTTTTTTACTTCATTGGCCTGTGACCAAATGCTTATCCTTCAAGCACAGTTAGCTCCCTAATATTCTCATCCATATTCTGCAGGTGATACTCCCTTTGTCACTGCCTGGCAGAACAAAATGTTTATGTCTGCACACTATTCTAATATTGCCTAAAATAAACTTCAGGCAGATGTGGGTTCAAGACCTCCAAACACACTTTCTGGGTATTCAACCAGCTTGCTTGATGAAGAGACCTTAGTGATGAACCCACAACCTGACAATTGTGCTCCTCCAACCATTAACTTTAAAACCACCTGCAGGCCAAAGATGACCCTGTCCCAACTTCAGATGCTTGGCAACTGGTATTCAACTCATATTTATGACTTTGCAGGGTCCCGAGGTCATGTGATCACTTTTTGCAACCTTCTGACAAGCGAAGTCAACGGGTAAGCCAGACTGATTTTAAGTATGCATAAATTAACTGCAGCGATTAGCTTAACCACCGTGGCAAGAAAGGCTGCAAAATTCACTTAATCACAGACTCACTTAGCAACAGAAATTTTGGATAAACTTGTATAGAATTATATAGGAATGCAAAATGAACAGGGCTTTGTTTTATTATTGCATAGATAAGGATTGTTGAATTTATCCCAGATAATGAGCAGAACTATGTATTTATTTACATTATTTCTAATTTGCCCAGAAAATTATCAAGGAAGTTTGGTAGTTGACTGTACAACAAATTAATTCTGGACACTACCTATAATCTCTATCCATCTATCTATCTATCTATCTATCTATCTATCTATCTATCTATCTATCTATCTATCTATCTATCTATCTATCTATCTATCTATCTANGAACAGTGATATGAAAGGAATACAAAACTTTGTATTTTGTATATGCCCCAAATCCATACAACTTATTTTTTTAAGTATCACATTTAGTTGTAAACACATCCCACATAAAATACAGTTCAGGAAGAAAGTCTTGCAAAAACTTCTGGTTCTGCATTACTTGACATAATACTTTTTTTCTATATTTATATGTGTGTGTGTGTGTTTAAGTGTGTATTTGTACCCAAACCTTTCCTTGTGCCTATATCTCAATTCCACATGCTTAAATCTGAAGATTTAATGTTGCTACAACATCTGGGGGATTTTTCTATATTAACAACATTCCCAGCTGTCCAATTGGAGCAGAACTAGAACTGTTCATTCTCAAGAGCTAAACCTATTCCTTTAACAATAACAGAGTTTGTATTTATTGAAACTAACTTGATATGCCCCAGAGATTGTGGGTGAGTTACAGTATTTCAAACTAAATAAATTGTGCTGTGTGTGTATGTGTGTGTGTGTGTGTGTGTACACACACTCTCACTCTCTCACACACACGTACATACTGCACTTACCTATATCCTTGCACACAGACACATAACCTGTCATCATGTTGATTTTAATAAAATTTAAATGAAATATCTTAATGCAAGAACAAGAGTATAGAAGAGGGTGTCCATAATAACTCTATCACTAAGGTCCTGGAAAAATTGTCAGATGCATAAACAATCAGACCCATATAAGCAGAGTATAGGCTTATTACTTAATTATGATCTGCTTACAATACAGGCATATCCCCAATCTCACGGCTTTCTCCTGGGAACAACTAGTTAAGGATCTAAGATTTCAGGGAGGGCTGGATCCACGCTCTCTCTCTCTCTCCTCCCTGTTAGATTGGGTGCCTCCCAAGAAAAAAATGGGGAATGAGGAAGTA